AGACCACAGGCTAATCTGATCCATGATGGCTATCAAGATCGCTCCCAAGCACAGACTCCAAGGAAGAAAGATAGGGCGCAAAATGAACACCCAAGCCCTTCAGGAGCCCTGCAGATGAGCCCTTCTCCAAACAGCACTCAAGGACCATCTACCCACAGAACACCCCGAAAATGTTGAGGAACATTGAAACAAACTGAAGACCTCCATCATCACAGCCTGCGAAGAAACTATTGGATATCAAACCAAGAAACACGAAGACTGGTTTGATGAAAATGACAACGAGATCCAACAGCTAATTGACAAGAAAAGGAAAGTCTTCCAAACATGGCAGAGAGACATCAACTGTGCTGCTAAGAAAAAGATCTACGCCAGTGCAGAAGCTGAGGTCCAAAGAAGGACAAGAGAACTCAAGAACATCTGGTGGACAAAGAAGGCTGAAGAAATCCAACACCTGGCAGATACCCATGATGCTCAGGGATTTTTCCAAGCCACAAAGGTCATCTATGGACCAAGAAACCATGGCATACAGCCTCTACGCTCATCAGATGGAACCAAACTTCTGAAGGACAAAAAATCAATTGCACTATGTTGGAAAGAACACTACCAAAGCCTCCTGAACCACAGGTCCAATGTGGCCGAAGAGGTTCTCTCACAAATCCCACAACAAACCAGGGATGAGCTTGCAGCACTGCCTAATTTGGAAGAAGTCAGCAATGCCATCAACCAAAAAAAAAAAAAAACCAAAGTCAGCGGACCTGATGGGATCCCTGCTGAAATCTTTAAAGAGAGAGGACCTGAGTTGACACAACTTCACCAGCTCATAGAAAAAGGGTGGGTGACCGAGAAAATCCCAGCAGGTTTCAAGGATGCCACTATCATCACCCGCTTCAAAAAAGGGGAAAGAACAGACTGCGGAAACTATCGAGGTATCTCCCTTCTAACCTCAGCTGGGAAAATCCTCGCAAGAATCCTTGCAAACCGCCTTCTACCCCTACCACCTATGGACCCACCAGAACACTGACCCTGGAAGACTATCCTACTCGGCCAACGAGGGATCGCCTAAGTAAGTAAGTAAGTAAGTATTGCTTTACAGTATATTGAACAACATAGTTGCAGCTAATAATAATCTATCTATGCACATAATAAAAGTGAAAATATGTATGTGTGTGTGGCTGGGGTGTCCACTTACACAGACAGGCTCCCAATTCCATTGATAGCTATAGTTCCCAATACTCAGGTGACACCAATGCCTCCCTCCAATGACATTGCAGATTATAGTGAGTGCCATGAACATGTTCAAGGGCCCTGCCAATGTCCTCCGGAAACACCATACTGGCCACCACCCAAGTGAAAGATTTTATATAGGGATAATTTTATCCTAGATTTTTTGTTTTTCCTCCATCAGTGTTTCTGACTCTCTCCATTGGTGTGGAATTTGCATGACCCCGCCCACTGCCTCTCCCATAACCCTTTCCTATTTTTTTCTATGACAGACAGCAAACAGAGGAATTGATCAACAGCTGAACATTTAAGAGAGGTTTGGGAGAATTCACCATGATTACTAGGAGTTGTAAGTCCTGGGATGTATAGTTCACCTGCAATCTAAGAGCATTCTGAACTCCACCAATGATGGACCTGGAACTAACTTGGCACAACGAACCCCAATGACCACCTAAAAATGCTACAGGTTTTTGGAGGGATTTATAGGAATTGTAGTTCACCTACATCCAGAGCACACTATGAACCCAAACAATGATGTATCCAGACCAAACTTGGCATGTAAACCCGAAATGCCCAAATTTGAAAACTGGTGAGTTTTGAGCAAAATTGGCCTGGACAACTTGGAGCTGTAGGTACTGCAATTTATAGTTCAAATGCAATCAAGAAGCACTCTGAACTTCATCAAAGATGGAATTGGACCACACTTGGCACACAAAGCCCCCATGACCAGCAAGAAATAACGGAGGTCATTGGGGAAAATTCACCTTGATTTGGGGAAGTTGTAGTTCACCTACAGAGACCACTGTGAACCCAAACACTGATAGATCTGAACCAAATTCGACACACATACATGATTTACCAAAATTTGATTACTTGCGGGGGGGTTGGGGGTTGGGGGGATTGACCTTCTTTTCTGGGAATTGTAGTTCACCTACAACCAGAGAAACCAATGGACCTGGACCAAACTTGGCACACAGAACCCCATGACTAACTCAACCTACTGGTGGGGTTTGAGGGGACGGACTCATCATAGTGGGAGTTGTAGTTTACCCTACAGCCAGAGAGTACACTGAACCCCACCCATGTTGCATCTAGAGCAAACCTGCCCAACATGACAAACTTGAAATACTGATGGAGTTTTTCGGGGTTAACCTGGCAAGCTGTTTGAAGTGACGGAGTCTCCTTCTCTGGAGGTTATCCAACAGTGGCTCGATGGCCATCTGTTGGGAGAACTTCAGTTGTGTCTTAATTCCTAAAAGAATGGAGTTGGAGTGGATGGCCCTTGAGGTCTCTTCCAACTCAGAATTCTATAATTCATTCTATCTATCTATCTATCTATCTATCTATCTATCTATCTATCTATCTATCTATCTTAGGGGACTAGACTGGATGGACCTTGGGTCTCTTCCCACTCTAAAATTCTAGGCTTCTGTCATCTTGTCCAACCAACCATCCTTCCATCTATCTTAGGGGCTTGGCTGGGTGACCTCTAGGGCCTCTTCTAACTCTAGGATTCTATTATTCTGTCATCTATCTATCTATGAATCCATCCACTCATCCATCTATCTTAGGGGACTGAACTGGATGGCCCTTGAGTTTCCTCCATCTCTAGGATTCTATGATTCTATTATCTAGCTACCTATCTATCTATGTATCTTTGGCCATTCACTGCTGCCTCAGTCTACTGGAGTCTCCTACTTTTGAGGTCTCCTTCTCTGGAGGTTGGGCATCTGTTGGAAGGGATCGGATAATGTCTCCTTGCCTGGCAGAAGAGGACTGGATTGGATGGCCCTAGAGGTCTCTTTCAATTCTAGGATTCTATCTATCTATCTATCTATCTATCTATCTATCTATCTATCTATCTATCTATCTATCTATCCATCCATCCATCCATCCATCCATCCATCCATCCATCCATCTTAGGGATGGGATAGGTTATCCTTAGGGTCTCTTCCAACTTGGATTCTATTATTCTATCTATTCATCCATCGATCTTAGGGGGCTGGACTGGATGGCCCTTGGGGTCTCTCACAATTCTAGGATTCTAGAATTCTAGATATCTATCTATCTATCTATCTATCTATCTATCTATCTATCTATCTATCTATCCATCTTTTATTATTATTAATTGATATCCCAATTTTTCTCTCCATACAGAGACTCAAAGTGGCTCAAAACTAAAAGCACTGCAATACAACTTAAAACATACAAATATACAAGTACTAAGACGGTATTAAACATCATTAAAAGCATATGAAATCACAGCAGCTCCTGACGATCTTAAAAACCTTCTTCTTTAAAAGCCTACATGAATAAAAAGGTCTTATCCATCCATCCATCTTAGGGGCTTGGCTGGGTGACCCTTAGAACCTCTTCTAACCCTAGGATTCTATCTATCTATCTATCTATCTATCTATCTATCTATCTATCCATCCATCAATCGATTTTAGGGGGTTGGACTAGATGGCCCTTGAGGTATCTTACAACTCTAGGATTCTATGATTCTTTCATCAATCTAGCTATCTATCCATCCCTCTTAGGAGATAGGCTGGGTGAACCTCTGGGTCTCTTCCAACTAGGATTCTATTATTCTACCTACCTATCTACCTACCTACCCATCCATCCATCTTAGGGAGCTGGATTGGATGGCACTTGGGGTCTCTTAAAACTCTAGGATTCTATTATTCTATCATCTATCTATCCATCCATCCATCCATCCATCCATCCATCCATCTGGCTACAGGGACTGAACTAGGTGAACCTTGGTGTCTCCTCCAACAATAGGATTCTATTATTCTATCTATCCATCTTGCTGGGGAAAGTGGAAGTTAAAAGGAAGAGGGGCCGACCAATGGCAAGATGGATGGATGGCATCCTTGAAGTGACTGGACTGACCTTGAAGGAGCTGAGGGTGGTGACGGCCGACAGGGAGCTCTGGCGTGGGCTGGTCCATGAGGTCACGAAGTGTCGGAGACGACTGAACGAATGAACAACAACAACATCTATCCACCTATCTATCTTTGGGGACTAGATGGCCCTTTGAGTGTCTTCCAACTCTATGATTCTATCATCTGTGTCTGTCCACCCACCCGCCTATCCATCTATATATGTCTTCAGGGACTGGGCTGGATGAACCTTGGGGTCTCTTTCCACCTCTAGAATTCTATTATTCTATCTGTCTATCTATCTATCTATCTATCTATCTATCTATCTATCTATCTATCTATCTAGCTATCATTTATTCTATCCATCCATCGATCTTAAGGGGGTTGGACTGGATGGCCCTTGGGGTCTCTTACAACTCTAGGATTCTATTAATATATCATCTATCTATCCACCCATCCATCCGTCTTTGGGGACTGGACTTGATGAAACTTGGATCCTATTAGTCTATCTATCCATCCATCTATCTTCGGGGACTAGATAACCCTTTGAATGTCTTCCAACTCTATGATTCTATCATCTGTGTCTGTCTGTCCATCCATCCGCCCATCCATATATTTTCAGGGACTGGGCTGGAATAACCTTGGGATTGCTTTCTATCACTATAATTCTGTTACCATATTATCTATCTAACTATCTAATCTATCCATTCATCTATCTTAGGGGGCTGGACTAGAGGGCCCTTGGGGTCTCTTCCATCTCTAGGATTCCATGATCCAAGGTGTGAGGTCCAGGAGCAGCCCTTCCCTAAGCAGAAGACATTCTTTATCCACAGGAAGCAACTCCAAAAAGACAGAAGGCCCCTTTTGGATCCAAACTCTCTCGTCGGCACTTAC